TATTTTCTTAAAAACAAGAGAACAAATTGTGCAGCTGAAGTAAGAGCATACTAAATCCTCTTAGTTAAGTTAAAAATCTGTGTTTGTTCTCGTTCCTACAGTGTGATGGTTGAATGATGTCTGTGCAGAGTTTGACTCTTTCATTATCTGTTAATCTGCAGATCATTTTCTTGATTAATCGATAAACCATCAACATTTAGATTTACTTCATAGGACATTAAAAAGCAGGAAATTCTCACAACTAAGAGTTATTTTGCCAAATGGATTATTAAAAAAAAAATACATATATACAGATAGTGGAACAATAATAATTAATTTCCCATTAGGATCCTAAAACAGGCAAACAGGATTTTCCAGATGTTTCCTCCTCCACTGTAAAGTCCACTCTCAGTGTCTGTGCACTGCTGGAGACACTTTCCACTTTCAGCAGATGAATGTGAAAACATTGTTCTAGAGTCAAATTCTGCACAGACATCATTCAAACATCACACCGTAGGAACAGGAAGATAAACTGAGTTCTGACTGGAAGGGACTTTCATTTTCTGCTAATTGACTGATTTTCAAACTTTACTGCTGGAGTAAAAATGTGTGAAATATGAATAAAAGTTGAGAGACTCTTGCTGCCTTACAGTCAAATTCTGGCTTGTAAAACCTCTTCCTTTAAAATGGACACACCTCTAGCACACATTTTAAATTCGGAGGAGAAAGAACTCTAACAGGCTTGTGTGTGTTCATGTCTTTCATCCAGTCAGCGTGTAAAACCAGTAAGAATCTCTCTCTCGTTCTGTTCCTCTGTGTCTGTGTGTCCAGGAGCGAAACTAAGCCGGATTTAACCTCTGCAGAAAAACGACGGAGCAGAAAGAGAAAATCGGGGGATGAAAGGAGGGAGAGAGGGAGAGAAAAGGCTGAAGACAAAAACAGGATCCACCTCAGCCTGCCTTCCCCTCCTGGGACAGGACCAGGAGGATTTTAGGGGGAATAAAGTGAGTTGGAGGGAGACTGTTTAAAGCTGAAACAAAAACTGGTCTTCACATCTCTGGATTATCAGTCCTGAAGGAGGATTTTGGGGATTAATCTTTCAATTCTGGTCAGCAAAGGATGTAAAGACAATTCAATGTGAGAGCAGGAACGCTGGAAGATTCTTTGAATTAATGAAGTTTGGGCAAAGAACCTGAGATAATTCCTCAGGGGATCTGTTTTCTGTTTGGTGGAAGTCTTTTTTGGGTTTTTGCTGGCCAATGAGATATTTCTAGATAGAAGAAGAGACTTTCTGAACCTTTCACACCTTTTAATAAAAAGCACAAACGAGCTCAAGGATTGAAGGATTTTAGGGACCAGCCCTCTCCTGTTTCTCTCCATCTCATTTCCCTTTCCTCTTTTCTGTTCATGCACCTTTTACATCTTGCTCCTTTTCCCCTCTTTGGGTTGTCTGACAGGAATCCCGAGGAGGATTTGAGGCGAATAAAGCAGGTGTTGATGACAGATAACAGCTGCAGAGAGGCAGAGGTAGACTCTCATAAAACCAGATAAGTGATGTTTAGCGACAGGAGCAGCAGGTAATACAGGCTGAATGTGCTGTTGGTTCTGCAGAGCGTTGGCGCTGTCTGTCATCTTTCTGCAGGCTAATTCTATCTCAAGGACCGTCTGTGGGCGAGGTGGGCGATCATAAAACCAGGGGGAGGGAGGAAGATACTCACTCTGCAAAGCCTCAACATGACAGAGGAGAGAAAGAACTGATGTAAAGCTAAGATTAAGAACCCAAGGTTACGTGTAAAAGGTGAAGAAAAAGAAAAAGGAACTGTGGTTATGAGCAACAGGAGTGTGCAGAGGGACATGTGGAGTTCAATCAGGTGTCTGTAATGTGGAAGAGTCCGGGCAAAAAAGAGAGAATTAACAAAAAGGACCAAAGGGACTGAATCTACAACAGAAACCAAAACAGTCAATGATGTCCATTCAAATGTAGGAAAAATACTGGAGGAATAAGCAAAGGTTAATCCACTGAGCATCAAACAGATCAATAAACCGCGCACACAGCAGGCCCGTCAAACAGTTTAGCAGCGGAAAGTTGTCCAAAAGTGCGAAGTCTGAGCTGTCAGAAAAATGTTTTGAGGTCAGATTTGGAAAGAAAAAGCCGAGCTGAAGCAGGATGGGCCAAACAAGCAGAATGAGACATCAAGCAGTGAGAGGAAGTAAACTGAGCTGAGAAGCAGAAACAACACGTTCACTGATGCCAGATTTTATGTCTGCCAACATAAATTTAACTGCTCCAAACCTCCTTTAAAGGCTTTGATACAAACACTGCAGAAACTACGGGGATCCCTCTGGGGGGAAATTCAAAGACGATGGCCTCGTGGTAAAAAAAACTTGTTTGAAGATATTTGATCAAACTTAAAGCACCACACACACACGAGAGTTCACTTTTTGGCTCCAGAAAATGGAATTCATCCTGTTCTTTAAGCACAAATAGTTTTATTCTTATGACTCCTCATTTAGGCTTAAAAACGCTTACAAACGTCACAAAACACAAGCAACAAACTGGTTTCTATCTCTTAAATGAAAAACAGACTGATTCTAAGAAAAAAGTCATTTTAAAGCGCAAATTATCATATGATAATGATAATGATAATCCTTCATTCAGGTGCTAAACTGATGTGTTCAGCTCAATAAGCACAAGCTCTGTTCACTGTGACATCAATATTCAGGTGCTTAAAGGTGCACGTTTGTGTGATTCTTTAGGATTTCAAAGACTTTTGTATTAATTCAAAGCACAAGGAAGCGTTAACAACTGACCCCTGAAATCCATCATAAGTGCACAGCTCTTCTCTTCCTGCTCTAGAAACACAAATCTTACTAACATTTAATATTTCAGCCAAGAATGGGTCTTCTCTTTTCTTCTCCTGTCAGTTTGGGGAGAAAAGAAGTCGTTTTAAATGCTTGCTGATGTTCAGATGAATTATTGAACTGAAAACTGTTCCAACAGTTTACAGCCGGAGGAGTTTTTCTTTCTTTTTCTCTCCTTCATGTCTTATTAACTGACTCTGGCCTGGTTTCCACTGCGGCTTAAGAACAAACCCCAGGAGAGGTTTAGAAAACTAAACATTTGGCTGAAGACGTTCAAGTGTTTTGTAAAGATTAGCGAGGCGTTCTAAAGCACCGCGGCTGGTTTGACTTTAGCTTTGAGTGGTTTTATAAGAGCAGGTATCACTTTGATTCACACTGAGGAGAAGAAAAGCAACAAATTCTGTCGGGGAAATAAAAATATATAGATTTTTTGTACCTGTGACTTCGTTGGTGTCACTTTTACTAAAAACAGAAGGTGGGAGCACAAAATCTGGACACATTTTTAGTTTTAATTCAGTGCTTCAGTTTGGATTTATCTGGATTTATTAAGCAAAATTGTTGAATTTATTTAAAACCTGACGATCAGGAAGATACATCTGATCACAAAGATTATAATTTTGACCTGAAAACACCTTTGTGTTCTTCAGCCATTTGAGCTGCTGGTTGACTCGACTCCTTTGTGTTTAAAACAGCTCAAAACATTGAATATTTAACTTATTACTGAATCCAGTTCAAGATGCGAGATTCTAATTACTTATTCTAATTTTGACACAGAAATCCTAAAAATGTGTGTTTGTGTGCGACTGATGGAGAGCAAACACACACACATAGGTCAGTGTGAGCAGTGTGTAGGTGGAACTTAATCAGACACACAAGGCGACACACTGAGGAAGCACACACACCTTCATCCTCCCCTCCAGAGACCTTTTTCTTCCCTTTATCACCCACATCCTCATCATCAGGACCACTCCAGCAGGAGTTTGTTTTCTAGGACGCCCACAAACTCAACTGTGTGCGTTTTAACAGGTTGAAGCACAAACTCAAGAGCCTCTTCATCCCCCTCCCCCCCTCCTCTCCCTCCTCCACTGCAGGCCTGAAACAATCTGCCACGCATGAATAAAAAATAATTTTTCACTGTGATGAAAAGACGCAGGGTCTCGCCTCCTCGCCGCCCGCGGGACGGCAGATAAAAGCTGTTTACTGTGAGGAGCTGTTAGAGCAACACAACGAGTCCTTTCTGTGGGAAAGAAACAACAATGTCTCGCTCCTTTTGTCTTCTGTTTCATCACTGTTGTTGCCTGCGAGCCCATGACGGAGCACACAACAGGAGCTGAACTCAGCTTGACTCTCAGCTGGGTTTTTATCTGAACTGACACTTTTCTAAACAGAGACAGATGTCTTTGGTGAAGATGTTGGACTGATAGAGGCATCTGTGTGTGTTTCTGATAAACTTGATAAAGCACACTGGGGGATTTTTCAATGAGGTGGCTTCATTTTTTGTGGGGAATGTTCCTTTTCTGAGGGAAAACTAAAACTACAGGACCCAGTGCTTGTGCATAATTGCCAAAAACACTAAAAACTGACTTGATTTATTTTTTAATTGGATTTCCCTTTATGCAGAAGAACCACTGAAGCTACAGACAGAACAGTAACTTTTATATATTTGAAATAAACCTGGAAAACAGCAGAATACATTTGAATCTCACTGGAACTTTTCTTATGAAATGCTTGGATTTCTCTGAGGATTTTGGTGAAGGATCTTTGATCAGCATTTACAAAGAACAAACACAAATCTTCTCACATAAAGGATCTTTGACAGCAGGGATTACAGTTTTCACCAACACTTCATTTTGCCCCAAGAATTTGTCAGAATTTTCTTCGGCTGAGTTTATCTTAGCTTCAGAGACATTTATCTAGACAAAAACGTTATCTCTCAGAACCTCATTGTGGGTCAAAGGTCAGAGGCTGAAAAAATAATCAACAAAACAGACTCACCTGAGGACATCACATCTGCAGGTTAAAGGTCAGACGGAGAGCTGGATTATCGATACAGAGAGTCAGTTGTTTTCTGAGGGACCTGCAGAGAGGACAGAGGAGATAAAAAAAAACGAGAAGAAAGCGGAGAGAGAGAGATAAGAGGACGAGTTTCAGACGTCATCATGGGCTGCAACATGTGTGTGGTCAAACGTCCGGAGGAGCAGTACAGGATCATGTTCCAGGTAGGAAATCAAAGCCTTCCATACTGTTTTCTGTATTTCCCTGTTTAAACTTCGATAAGCGCAGTTTTCATTACATGATCTTGTTACACCCTCTCTTCTGGCTGCCTATCTCATGAACCACATCCTAATAATCGCTTAACTGTAGTGGATGGAAACAAGCATTCATTCGCATTTTATTTAGCAGAATAACTCAAAATTCAATTAAAGTTTGATGATACATAAAGATACATTTGGAAACACTGTTACTGAGCAGCTCTACTGGAGTGGTTGGGGTTAAGGGGCCTTGCTCAAAGGCACCTCAGTGGTGGTAATGAGGGAGGTTAGGACACCCTAACCGACCTATACTGCCGGTCTGACAACTGAACTGATGAACTCTCTGTAAAAAAAGCTTGCTCCTCTAACCTTCAGGCCGACACTTTCCTTTCAGGCAGCCGCTGGTTTTATAAAATGTCTATTAAAGTCACAGTTACTGGCCCAGTGTGTAGGAGTTAGTAGCATCTAGTGGTGTAGTTTCGCACGAAAAACATGGCGGTTTAACATGGCGGACTCCATAGGGCAACCCACCTGTAGATAAAAAATGTCTCATTCTAAGGCAACAAGAACACATTCTTATATTCAGGTGATCATATACTAACAACAACATAGCTATGAATATTATTTTACATTTCTGTCAATAGATCCTCCTCAATGTTACACACTGCACCTTTAAAATGTAGTTACCTTTATTACTTTCCCCAAAATTACGTTACATTTAATGAACTTCTAATGTACTCTGTGTTGGTGTGTTCAAGGGAGCTCTGATATCGTTGCAATGATATATATAATGGCTGCAACTATCATTTTATTACTGATTAATCTGCTGATTATTTCCTCGATTAATCAATTCATATCATTTTGTGTCACATGAAATTTTGTGTATCATCTTTCCCTCGAAGGTGTCTTTCCAAATTCTTTATTTTTTGTCTCACCAACAGCCCAAAAATATTGAGCTGTCTTCTGACACAATAAAGATCCTTGAAACTACATTTCACCTCAGGGCTGCTGTGTACATCATGAGGTAATAATGCAGGTGTTGCCTAAGGGCCCTGTAATTCTGTTTATAATTTGGAGGTACAGCATCAGGAACACACTGAACCTGGACACTTCAGGTCTCTGAGGGATTTGCCTGGTTGGTTTTCTGCCTGCAGCAAAAATGGAAGCCGTGAAAACAACCACGTGAGTTTTTTTATTCCTGAACCTTAAATATTCAGATGTTCTTTAAAGCACCAACACACAGTGACTTTTCACACAGTAACGATAACAATGTAAAGTTTGAAGTCATATAAATAAAAAAGCTACCAGAAAGGAAGAGAACAGGGCTGTAGCTGTCACTGAGGTTGTGTCCTTGATCATGTTTCTGGGGTTTATGTACAATTCATTCAGTTATTTTTATGGTTGATTGTGAAAAAAGTCTAAATTCTGGTGACGACTCTGAGAGTCTGAGAAAGAGAAAAGTCTAATAATGAAAAGGTCAGATACCAAGAAAGTAGAGCAGGAAGACGCAAATTCCACTGCTTTTGTTTTGGAGAAAGAGTGTGAAGGTTGCTGTTTGTGTGTGTGTGTGTGTGTGTGTGTGTGTGTGTGAGGTTCTCATGGAAACTACGGCACCATTCATCACTGCAGGTTGTTCTAGTTACTCTGTAAAGGTCATTGTGTTATTCTGCTGGGTTTTTTTGCACAGTGGAGGCTGAAAGTCACAGAGGACTGAGAACAGAAATCCTGCTCACACACTCCTACATTGTTCATGGAAAGCAGTTTGTGTGTGTGTGTGTGTGTGTGTGTTGTGTGTGTGTGTGTGTTTGTGTGTGTGTGTGGTAGTGTGTATGTGCATGGATGCTCAGGCTGCCATGCATTAATGTGCAACGCTTCAGTTCACATAAAAAGAAAAGCCTTGTTATTTGCAGTTGTACCACATTTCATTACGTCAACCTCATCGCTGTACAGAGGACGGTTTATATATTTTTACAACAATTGCAACCTGGAGCCCCAGGTCCTTGGGTGTCTTTAAGACACCCACAAATGCAATGTGATTGGTATTCCACAGATCAGGTCATTACCAATAATTGTAAAGTGAGAAAAACTGAATTCTGGTGATCCATTTTCTGGAGTCGGTTTCATCTGTATTAACCAAAAACATAAAGCTTGACACTAGATTGTAGGACAGATTAATGAATTAAGTCTATTTGTGTAAGAAAAGTGAAATTTACTATTTTGACATTTTATGTTGAGTAAATGTTGGCTTGGACTGAACTGCAGAGCACTGTAAAAAGACCTGGAGGTGATAGTAAAGACTGTAAGGAGGCTTCCACCTCCTCTTGCTGATATCCAGTGACTGACAGGAAGCAATGTGTAACATGATAGAATGTGTTTCTTTCCATTGAGACAGGGACTTTACAGTGAGACTGACATTACACTACAACAACAACAAGTCCTCCACACCAAACAATAATTCGTCTGTACCTTCAAAGGGTTTGGTTCAAGCCCAAGAATGACCTGCTTAAGGTTTGGGAAACCAACACAGACTGTCTGTGTATGAAACAGGATGAGAAGAGCAGTCTCCCACACCCAATGACACGCCATACAGGCTTCCCTCCAATGTCATGTGACTTCTGTTCTTTTGTTTCAGAGAGACAAAGACTGGGCTACAGGCTTCGTGGCTCTCATTGTGCTGTTTGGTGTTAGTCAAATCTCACGAGACTGGGCTCAGCTAGCATGAGCTAGAAAACAAGAGATACCTTAGCTTAGTGCAGCACAAGAACACAACACCAGCAGCATCAGTAAAATCAGAAAGAGAGATATAGCAGTGTTCCTTCTGTAGCCAAAAGTCCTCCAAACTAAATCACAAAATATGCTATGTTTTTCACTTCAAAAGAAACCATATAAGGGTCCAGAAAGGAAGAGCCCAGTGCCCGATGATAACGAGTAAGTAACAAGGCGTCTGACAAGTAGAGATCATTTTATTAGCTGTAGTTACAAGGTTCCTTCTATGCTGTCTCAAAAACATATGAGGTTTATGGTCTTATGCCTCTATCAGCTGGAAAACAGTGCGCTTCACATGGCCATTAAGGCACAGAAGCGTCTTGGTTAAGGATCTTGGTAATGGTTAAAAGACGCCCACATTGAGTCACATGATATGTTGTCCCGTCCAACCACACTGACCTCCTCCCTATCAGGTCCAACCAGCAACCCGTGCTGCTGGTTGTTATTGTGGAGACCGCAGTGGAGCTGTCCGTGGTCCTGA